CAGTTGCACCTGCTAAATCACTGCTTGCTGCTGCTGCCGTCGCTTCTGCTGCGGCTGCACCCTCGTCTGCGATCGCGCGTGCTTCGTTCGCCGCCTTAACCGCATCTGCAGCGAGCTCGCCTAGAATGTCCTTCTGACTACCACTCGTACCGACTCCAGAAGACGGTTTAGGTTTCGGATTAGCCGAGATCTGCTTCGGTGGGAGCGTTGCTTGAGGATTTGTTGGCTGCTGCACAGCTGCCTGCTGCTTCATCTGAACGAGCGACCTGCAGCAGGCGCATCGGGATCGGCCGCATGGAAAGAGGTGAATTAAAAATTTTGGGGGATAGGAGAATGATTCAGGGCATTCGGGAATCCATCAGGCGCTGCGGCGGTGCGGGTTCATAACACAACCTGAGCAGGAATTGCTACGGTGAGATCTAATAAACGCGTCTCATTCCTAGTGCAATCACAATGGTTACAGAATATATGCTAGATAACAGAAGCGGAGGGTCTTTTAGGCTGGCAGCTCAGGCAAACACACATTCCTAGTGACCAAGCCTACTGAAACGTACCGAACGGCGAACGAACGTGGGACGCAAAGCATAATGGTGACGAGAAGGAGGAGGAGAGAAGAACGGCGCGCCATGGCTGGCGATGCTCACAAACCCTAGAAAAGATACTCCTCCGAGTCCCAGGACAGGAACGAGCGAGATGCTAGCAGAACTGAAAGCTTGACCACACTTGGCCCCAGCTGGCTTTTTCGCCTAGCGTGTCTCAGGGATTGGCTTGAGAATCTCGTTTTAATGCGGCTGAGAACGTTATTCTGCGATTTAAAACATTTGTCAAAGGGGAACAAGCAGTGGGAGAGGACGAACCTTCGGGGCAAGGAAGGAAAGCAGCACGAAGCGCCTGGCTGGGAGAAGGGATGGGATGGGAGAGGTGCAGTTCGCCCCCCTCTAGTCCCACTCCCTCTTGGGCGAGTGTTTTCGGTTTGTTGCGTTCGAGTACGGTGGTGTGCAATCCCGAACGGTCTTGAAACGCGACTCACCGCTTTGAATCGTGATACATGAACAATGAACGTACAGATTGTGACCCTGTAGGGGCTGGTGCGAAGCCAGCTTGTGTGGACCCTACCTGACGTGGAGTCATGGGCGCTCCACGTAGATCTATGCCAGATCCTCGTCCACGTGGGTCAACCGAACCTGCTTCGGTACTTCTTGCTGAAATCGGGCTTTGGGGGAAGTGGGCAAAGTTGGATATCGACGGCTAACGTTTACCCAAACCTTCTCGCACCAACTTCGAGGAGGCTTGACAAAATGCTTGTTCAGTGGGGCTCAATGAGGTTCTTTACGCTGCGCAACGGCCATGCGTTCATATCAAGTGTTTGGGTAGGGTATTGAGAGAATGCAGACATTCACGTCACTCCCCCAGTGAGCGCCCAGCGGCAATTATAAATGCTCCATTGGCAGGTGACTGACATGAAAGGAGGTCGCGCGTAGCATAGCATCCATCCATCCATCACCCATCAATTTATTGTTTATTTCTAGTACGCTTGCTGTTCTGGAACGAGCAAGCTATACTGGGTGTTCCCTCCTCTTCCTTGGGAGCTCTAGTCACCGCTTGTTCAGTGCACGACGCAACGTCCCGTTTCTGCATTTTTCGTGTTTAGTTTATAGTAAATGTGTGGTGCACTGCTGTCGTTGCCGGCGTGGATCCTCCATCCACACTGTGTTGAAGCCTGATTGCGATACCTGTCAACGCTTCAGTAGTAAATAGATGCATAAGTACAGCAGCATAAGGCGCTACAAGGACCAACTTCACGAGAAATTGTAGGGTGCCTTGGGGGTACATTACGAGAAAATTGTAAGGTAACCGCTCGGCGATCGTATGGTAGCGCCGTTTGAGTCCGATTCCACACAGTACGAATACCTGTCGTTACGTAGCCGCATTGATCCAGAAGCGGCAACCACTTCACAATGTCGAAGCAATCCCATGACGTCCTTGATACAGCCGTCGCGTTCCTCCAGAAGCGGGACGGCACCGACAAAGTGCTCAAAATCTGCCGGTACTCCGTCAAGCTCCTCCTCGCCGTCACGTTAAACCATCCCTCGCAAACAGCCGGCTCCGGCTCCGGTCCTCAGTCTGAAACCGTTCGACGGCTCAAGAGCTTCGAGTCGAGCGTGGGGGCGAGCCGGAAAGCCCTGCGCGTGGGGAAGTTTCTGCAAGACGTGGACGCGCTGAGGAAGGCTCCGCCATTCAGCAGCGTGGAGGGGTTTCTGGAGCTCGTCGCGAGCGGCGGCGAGGGGGTGTACTACTTCGTGGAGCAGCTCGTGTGGCTGGTAGGTGGAACTGCTTTTTTTTTACCTTTTAAGGTGCCTTATAACGGGTTTCTAAAGCTCGTGGCGAGCGGCGGCGAGGGGGTGTAGTACTTCGCGGAGCAGCTCGTATGGCTGGTAGTTGGAATGCTCTGCTGTGTGTGCTTGCTCCGTGCATGCACATGGGACATCGCACGTTGCACCTTGCGTCTTGCATATTGCACTTGTTCATTGTTTATCTCTTGCTACAGAACAGCGAACGTACGAATCTTAAGGCGAGGAAGCCAAAATGGGTGAGTAAATAAGTATGCTCTTTGTTGAATGTTTCCCCCATTCGCTTGGCAGGTCAAGACCGGCGCCTTACCCAAAAAGCACTCGAGGCAGCTAGAGAAGATCAGCGCATGGGCAGAGTTCATAGGGTATTTCGGAAGTGTAACCCTGACATCCATGGAGATAACCACCCTCTTGCACAAAGAGAGATCAGTTTCACTCCAGATAAAAAACCAGCCAATCCCATTCTCCAATGGCGGATCCTGCCAACCGCCCGACCAAGCTGGTAGTAGCAGCAGCAGCAGCAGCGTGGATATGACGTCATCAGGGGAGGCTGCAAGGAAGCTTCTTAAGGCGCTTCGATTCAAGCGGCTATTAAAGACATTGGCTCTCATCCAGGACCTATCAGACGCTCTCCTGGCTCTGCATGACATTCTAGAAGATTCTGATGGGAACAGCCCGCTAGGGAACCCCACGCTTCTGGCTGCTTGCGGGTTGCTGTCTGCGTTGATATCCACGCACAAGACATGGGTGTCTGCTTCAGGGTAACCTTATGTGCCTGCAATCAGCTGCTGATACCTGTAACCAGCACCAGTGGATCCATCTGTCCGACCGATCTCATGCAATCTCATCTGTCATGCACGATCTTCTACAGCATTGTGATCAGTGCGCTCGGTGCCATGATATCCTATCCATATGCACAGGTGACAGGAACTCGGTGCCAGCACCAGGCAAGCCTTGTGCTGGTAGCAGTGGTAGTTCCAACTTCAGGGTCTCTGTGTCAGCAGCACCACTAATTCAGCAGCTCCCGTATCATTCCCAGCCTCGTCCGTGTGTATAGCATTAAAGGCTCGCCCTAAGGTGCAGTGCACATACAGCGATTGCTGATTGCTGTTTGTGAATTGGTACCGGTATCTCAGTGTTAATGTGGTGGGCTGGTAGAGCAGTCAAGTCATATGGAAGTCATACCGTATGCCTCCTAAGACAATGCAGTTCTGCTTCAACATCATGTACGGTACTTTATCTTTGTCCAATACGGGTACTAACAAACAAGCTACGGTGCTTTATTATGGAGCACTCAAACCACATTACACCATGCAATGCACTGTTTGTAGCAACGCAATCCCTGCACACATGAGCCCAATTCAAAGCAAAGCTTGGCATCCTATACACAGCCAGCCAGGTCAACTCTGTGCCGCTGCTTATGACAATAGTCGACAAGTTACAAAACACCCTTGGGAAATACAGCAAATGAAATGCACAAGCAGCCACCAGATATGTCTGCATCGGTAGAATGAAAGAGGTTGGGAAGATGCACTGCATAGCCCTCTCGACCTCCACCTCTTCCCACCCACCTCTTCCAGCCTCTTCCCCACCTCTTTCCACCTCCTCAAACCTCGTTCTATTTCTTTCTCCACCATCCGCCCATGTTCTCCCTACCTTTCACTTCCCTCTTCCCCAGCCTCCTCCAACCTCTTCCCAACCTCTTCCCAACCTCTTCCCAGCCTCCTCCAACCTCTTCCCAACCTCTTCCCAGCCTCCTCCCAACCCAACCTCTTCCGGCATGGGTTCATGAGGGGAGTGAGGTGAACCCAGCTACCCTTGCGTGCACTCCATTAAGAAACCTGCTAAACCTTTCCTTCCCCTCTCCTGACTACCCCTCCTCGAGCCACAACGCCCTTCCCTCATCCCATTCACGCCACCAGCGGCTCACGAGGTGGTAAGTGAGCAAAACCCACCTACACCTGCCTGCAATGCATTAAGAAACCTCAGCTACTCCGGTAACATTTCCTTCACCTCAGGCCTTCTCATTCTCAGCCAATCCTTCCCTTCCTCGGGCCATGCCGCCCCACCCTCACCTCACTCCCTTCACTTCGGCTTGTCGTGGGTTCACGAGGTGAGTGAGGTGAACCCAGCTACTCCTGCTGGCTGCTTGCTTGCACACGTCTCTGACCACCAGTCTCCCTTCCTTCCCCTCCACTGACCCAGCCAAGTACAGGTTTCCCCCCTTGTGTAACACCCTTGCTTCCTTGCTTGCACTCCTCTCCTCTCTGCTTGCCAGTCTCCTTTCCTTCCCCTCCACTGACCCAGCCAGGACCGTATTCCCCCCCTTGTGTAAGACTCTTGCTTGCTTGCACCCCTCTCTGCCCACCAGTGTCCCTTCCTTCCCCTCGTGTGGCCCAAGTGATCTGCTGTGAGTGTTAGCTTCGGTGACGGAGTGTGGTTGGTGCCTGGGAGGAGGAGGAGGAGGAGGAGGAGGAGGAGGAGGAGGAGGAGGAGGAGGAGGAGGAGGAGGAGGAGGAGGAGGAGGAGGAGGAGGAGGAGGAGGAGGAGGAGGAGGAGGAGGAGGAGGAGGAGGAGGAACCCTTGGACCACCTGGGATAGGCGGGGACATGAGGGGAGAGGGATGGATCAAGACAGGTGTTCTGGCTGTCAGCTTTGGTGACGGAGTGTGGCTGGTGCCTGGGCAGAAGAGGAGGACGAGCCTTTGGACCACCTGGGATAGGCGGGGACACAAGGGAGTGGGGTGGGAGAACGGGGATTTTGGAGTCGACTCAAAACAGGCCCCAATGCAGGGGGGAAGGACGATGCACAGAAGAAGAGGAGGACGAGCCTTTGGACCACCTGGGATAGGCAGGGACACAAGGGGAGAGGGATAGTGAGCTGTTGTGAGAGTCAGCTTCGGTGACGGAGTGTGGCTGGTGCCTGGGAGGAGGAGGAGTAACCCTTGGGACCTCCTGGGATAAGCGGGGACACGAGGGGGGACGGAGTGAAAGTAAGAAACGTTTTGAGTTGCTTTCATACCGGTGTGCTTTGAAACACACTGGGATGCAAACGAGGAGGGCGAGGAGGAGGAACGAAACCCTTGGGACCTCCTGGGATATGCGCGGATACGAGGGGAAGGGGGATGGGGGAGCGAAGAGTGATGGGGTGGGAAGGATGTAGAGGTACCTACAGGCAGTGCATGATTGGAGAAAGGAGAGGATGGTGAGGGGAAGGGGGGTAGAGAGAAGCGAGTCTAATTATGAGGCGCCTCAAAATCAGACGCCTCCAATTTTTGAAGAGGTACCTAGTTGACTTTTGAGTCGACTCAACAGTCACCTCGGTACCAAGAGGCAGTGCATGAGTGGAGGAAGGAGAGGATGGTGTGGGAAAGAGAGGTAAACGGAAGCGAGATGGGGAAGAAGAAAACAGTTGGAAGTGGGAGGGGAGAGAAGGACGCGCACTGAGAGGTGAGGCGGGATTTGAGAGAGGAGAGGAGAGGATGGCCGAGGGGAAATGGAGATGGGAAGAAGGAAAGAAACGGAGTGGAAGGGAAGAGAAGTACTGAGAGGTGAGACAGGATTTGAGGGAGGAGAGTATGGCGTGGGGCAAGGAGGCAGGTGGAAGCACAGAGATGGGGAAGACGGAAAGAGTTGACGTGGGAGGAGAGAGAGAAGGAGACGTACCGCAAGGTAAGGCGGGCTTTGAGGGACGAGAGGATGGCGTGGGGCTGGCAGCCCCGAGGGAAAGGCGGGGTACGATCCTCCATAGGGCTGAGAAGGAGGATGGAAGGGGGAGGGATGGGAGGCGAGTGAGGGACAGGAGTAGAGGGTGGAAGGAGAGCGAGTGCGCTTGTCAGTAGAGCTGAGAATGGGAACACAAAAGTTTTGAGACGTCTCAAAACTCTACTTTATCACGTGGGAACGCAAAAGACACGTGCCGCACGAGGAGAGGACGGCATGGGGCTGGCAGCCCCGAGGGAAAGGCGGGGTATGATCCTCCATAAGGATGGGAGTGAGTGAAGAAGGGAGGGACGAAGAGATGGCATGAAGAGATGGCATGAAGAGATGGCATGAAGAGATGGCATGAAGAGATGGCAACGGATGGTGTGACGGGAGTGGCTCGCAGCTCAGCAGAGACGTTGACTAAAACCCCAACCCTTGATTTCTATGCGCTATTCCTGGTTGCCCTCTTTCCTGGTCATCTGTGGCACGGCACACCTGTTGCTGGAAGGAGCAGCATCCGCCAGGTTATTTCCCTGCCCAGCAGCACCAGGAGCAGCAGCAGACTCAAAACGCCCATCACAGCACCATCATTATCTGCCACATACCTGGCAGCAGCAGAGAGGTATTTTGAGGCGCCTCAAAATACACCTCAGTGCTCACGGATTTTTTAGGCGCCTCAAAATAGCAGCAGAATCAAAACGCCCATCACAGCACCATCATTATCTGCAACATACCTGGCAGCAGCAGCAGCATCCGCCAGGTTATTTCCCTGCCCAGCAGCTGTAGCAGCACCGGTTGTGGGAGCAGCTGCCCCAATAAAAGGAGGTGGCAGGCCAGCAGCAGAGGTCCCAGTGGCCCTGTCGCTGACATCCGGTGTGGCAGCAGCACCTGTAGCAGCAGCACCTGTAGCAGCAGCACCTGTAGCAGGGGCTGTAGCAGGAACTTCCCCAAAAAAAGGAGGCGCCAGTCCAGCAGCAGAGGTCCCGGGGTTGCTACCACCAGCTGTAGCAGCAGCAACTGCGGCAAGAGGTGCAGCAGCGGCTGTAGTAGCGGCTGTGGCAGGGGCTGTAGCAGGGGCTGTAACAGCGGCTGTAGCAGGGGCTGTAGCAGGTGCTTCCCTAACAAAAGGAGGAGCAGCAGCCAAAACGTTTCCAGCAGTGGTGCTGCTACCAGCGGTAAGGAAAGAAGCAGTAGCAGGCGTTGTGTCAGTGGCTGTAGCAGCTTTTTCCCCGATAAAGGGAGGACCTGTAACGATGATGGCTCCAATACCAGCGGTGCCAGCACCACCGCCACACACGTCAGCTGCTGCTATAGCAGCAGCACCTGTAGCAGCAGCACCTGTAGCAGCAGCAGGGGCTGCATCATCTGCTTCTCCAATGAAAGGAGGTGGCAACCCAGCAGCATCAGCTGTAGCAGCATCAGCTGTAGCAGCATCAGCTGTAGCAGCATCAGCTGTAGCAGCATCAGCTGTAGCAGCATCAGCTGTAGCAGCATCCTCCCCAACAAAAGGAGGTGCCAACCCAGCTGCCCTCACACTTTGACCACCCACTCCTGTCACGATCGCACCACCCCCCACCCCTTGAAACCTCCCCCCAACCGTTCCCTGCTCCTCCGAACCTGCGAGCACCAGCTTCAGCCCTTCCTGCCCTTCACCGCTGAACCTAGAGGAGGAGGCTCGGGAAGTTGACCCGAGGCTAGATGAAGCTTGGGGATCAGAGCCGAGCCTGCCATCTGATGCAGCCGGGGGAACAGCACCAGCAGCAACCCCACCACTGGCGGCAGTCGAACTAGTAGCAACAGCAGCGTTCGTAGCAGCAGCAGCAGCATCTGTCGCAGCAGCAACACCTCTAGCATGAGCTACACCTATTACACCAACAGCATCTGTAGCATCTGAAGCTTCCCCGTGCTGCTGCTCCTGCTCAGCCTGCTGCTGCTGCCGATGCTGCTCCAGCAACAGCCGCTGCTGCTCCTGCTGCTGCCGCACCAGCAGGCAAGAGAGGGACGCACTCATAGGTGCCAAAGCAGCAACAAGAGACGAGCTTTCAGATGGGGAGGAGGCCGTGTGAGCTACAGATGCTGCTGCTGCTGCTGCTGCTGCTGCTGCAGTAGAAGGGTGAGGAGGAGGAATATTGTGAGGAGGAGTAGGTGCCAGGATAGACTCTGTATAAAGAACCCCGCTTCTGTTTTGAGGAGGGGTTTCTCCTGTGTCAGAACCAGAAGAATTGATAGGGAGCACTCCGTTCCAGCTCACAGTGGCTCCTAGAGGGGTATCCAAAGGGAGAGCACCTGCTGACAGGCTGAAGCCTCTGTTGGTTTCTCCTGAACTAGAGGTCTCAGGTGGGTAGAAGGAGAGGGCGGAGGGCGGGCGTGGGCGCAAGGGCGAGAGGGAGAAGGTGGGCGGGGAGCATGCTGCCTCTGCTGCGAGAACAGATGGGTCCGCGCGATAGCATGCGATGGGGGGAGAGGTGAAGGGACAGGCAGGGGCTGCACCAGCATCAGAGGTGGCCGCAGCAGCAGAAGATGCAGAATTAGCAGGGGTACCAGCAGCGACAGCAGCAGAGGTGGTATCCGAGAGTGTGGCAGTAGCGGCAAGAGAGGTCGCTGTGGTGGGTAGCGAGGCTGATGGGGCAGATGCAGAGGCGGATGGAGAGGAGGAGGAGGCGAGTGCTGCTGAAAGAGAGGCAGAGGAAGAGGAGGAGGAGGAAGAAGAGGTGGTAATTGTGGTGGTGGTGGTAGTGTTGGTGGCGGGGATAGTAGAGGAGGAAGGGGAGGCGGAGCGTGAGGAGCGGTGTCTGTGAGGGCTGAAGGAGAGAGCGAAGGAGCGGGGGGAGGAGCCGGAGAGACCGCGAGAGGAGGAAGAGGAGGAGGTGGCGTGGCGGAGAGAGGAGAGGAGGGAAGAAGGCAGCCAGCGATCGACAGGCGAGCCCGATGTGACCGTGGCCTGCAGGGGGGAAGAAGGGGAGTCCAGGGGAAGGAGAGTGAGCAGAGTCGTCTGTACGGGGACAGAAAGGGAGGAGGTGGCGTGGCAGAGGGACGAGGGCAGCCAGCGTTCCACAGGCGAGCCCGATGTGACTGTGGCCCGCAGGGGGTTAAGGCGGGTGGGGACAAAGAGAATGAATATCGGTGTAAGACGGAGGGAGGAGAGGAGGGACGAGGGCAGCGAGCGATCCACAGGCGAGCCCGATGTGACTGTGGCCCGCAGGGGGAGGGGAATGAAGGGAGAGAGGACGGGACAGGAAGAGGAGGGGTAAGGGAGAGTGAGCATGGTTGTAAGGGGTTGGAAGGAGTGGAGGGACGAGGGCAGCAAGCGATCGACAGGCGAGCCCGATGTGACTGTGGCCTGCAAGTGGGGAAGGGAGAGGAGGGGGGTACAAGGAGGAGGGGGGTACAAGGAGGAGGTCAGAAGCACATGGCGGGATGGACGTGACTTTTGAGTCACCTCAAAATTCACCTCAAAAGTCGACTCAAAATTCACCTCAAAAGTCGACTCAAAATTCACCTCAAAATTCGACTCAAAAGTCGCCTCAGAAGTCACTTTGGGTACAAGGAGTGGAGGGAGATGAGAAGCACATGGCGGGATGGAGCAGGGATGGAGGAAGGTCGCCCATTCTTGGCCCTCTCTCTACGCCACACCCTCTCACCTGCACACCCCCTCTCACCCGCACCCACACCCCCTCTCACCCGCACCCACACCCCCTCTCACCCGCACCCACACCCCCTCTCACCCGCACCCACACCCCCTCTCACCCGCACCCACCACACCCCCTCTCACCCGCACCCACACCCCCTCTCACCCGCACCCACACCCCCTCTCACCCGCACTCACACCCCCTCTCACCCGCACTCACACCCCCTCTCACCCGCACCCACACCCCCTCTCACCCGCACCCACCACACCCCCTCTCACCCGCACCCACACCCCCTCTCACCCGCACCCACCACACCCCCTCTCACCCGCACCCACACCCCCTCTCACCCGCACCCACACCCCCTCTCACCCGCACTCACACCCCCTCTCACCCGCACTCACACCCCCTCTCACCCGCACCCACACCCCCTCTCACCCGCACCCACCACACCCCCTCTCACCCGCACCCACACCCCCTCTCACCCGCACCCACCACACCCCCTCTCACCCGCACCCACACCCCCTCTCACCCGCACCCACACCCCCTCTCACCCACACCCACACCCACACCCACACCCACACTATGACTTTCAGGCCTACCCACACCACAAACATACCTGGCTGTTGCTCTTCCGCTGCTCCCTCTGCTCCTGCTGCTGGCGATAGCGCGACGGAGCAGGAATAGAGGAGGGCGAGGAGGAGGACAAAACCCCCGTGCCCATGGGCTGAGTCCCCCGCCTCGCCTGCCCACAAGCACACTTTCTTCTAGAGCTTCAAGCTCACACAGTTGCTCACCTGTTCCCAGGGGGAGAGCCTACCCTCACCACAAACAAACTTTTGAGACGTCTCAACTTTTGAGACGTCTCAACTTTTGAGACGTCTCAACTTTTGAGACGTCTCAACTTTTGAGACGTCTCAACTTTTGAGACGTCTCAACTTTTGAGACGTCTCACAGTTGCTCACCTGTCCCCAGGGGGGGAGAGCCTACCCTCATCACAAACAAACATACCTGACTGCTGCCCTGCCGCTGCTCTTGAGTCGACTCAAAAACAAACATACCTGACTGCTGCCCTGCCGCTGCTCCCTCTGCTCCTGCTGCTGCTGCTGCTGCTGCTGCTGCTGGCGATGGCGGAAGGGAGCAGGGATGGAGGACGACCGTCCTGTACACATGGGCTGATTCATACTGAAGAGTTGATTCATACTGGCTCCGCAACCCACCTGTTCGACCTCGACAGTTCCTGCTGGCGATGGCGCAAGGGAGCAGGGATGGAGGACGACCGTCCTGTACCCATGGGCTGAGCCCCCCCATATCCTCGTGGGCTGAGCCCCCCCATATCCTCGTGGGCTGAGCCCCCCATATCCTCGTGGGCTGAGCCCCCCATATCCTCGTGGGCTGAGCCCCCCATATCCTCGTGGGCTGAGCCCCCCATATCCTCGTGGGCTGAGCCCCCCCGCCTTGCCTAGCCCCTCACCGCCACGCCCCTTGTTGCCACTCGTTTTGCTTAAAGCCCATCGTATGACTTTCACGTCTACCCACACACATACCTGACTGCTGCTCTGCCGCTGCTCCCTCTGCTCCCGCTGCTGCTGCTGGCGATGGCGGGAGGGAGCAGGAATAGAGGAGGGCGAGGACGAAGACCCCCCTGTGCCCATGGGCTGAGCGCCCCGCCTCACGTGCCCCCTCACGGCCACTCCCCTTGCTGCCACTCCCCGTGCCGCGGTTCCTCGGCCTGCTGCCCCCCGCACTGATGCTGCGATTGCGGCGGCGGCTGCTGCTGCTGCCGCGCGCTGCTCTGCCGCTTGGATTTCCTTCTCTCTGTAGCACGCCAGCAGCAGCTCCTGACTGCAACGCATGAGAGTCAGGAAGAAAGACAATAGAGAGGAGAGATTGGCAACGAGTGGAGGCGTGCTGGTTGTCGGCTGCACCTTTCTCTCCTTCTCTCCCTGTAGCACGCCAGCAGCAGCTCCTGACTGCAACGCATGAGAGTCAGGAAGAAAGACAATAGAGAGGAGAGATTGGCAATGAGTGGAGGCGTGCTGGTTGTCGGCTGCACCTTTCTCTCCTTCTCTCCCTGTAGCACGCCAGCAGCAGCTCCTGACTGGGGAGGCGAAGGAGGGTACAGAAAGATGATCGGGAGGGTAACTGGCAACCTGTGAGGGCTTGTTGTCGGTCTGTACTGTAGCACGCAAGCAGCAGCTCCTGACGTGTTTAGAGTCGACTCAAAACACGACTCATGATCGGGAGGGTAACTGGCAATCTGTGCTGTGAGGACTTGCTGTCTGTCTGTAGCTCCTACCAATTTGTGAGGGCACGCAGGCAGCACCTCCTGACTGTGGAGGCGAACGGAAGGGGGTACTGCATTTCATCTTGCACGCACTACGTTTCACCTAGCACGTACCACGTTTCATCTTGCCCGTGCCACGTTTCATCTTGCACGTACCACGTTTCATCTTGCACGTACCACGTTTCATCTTGCACGTACCAGGTTTCGTCTTGCAGTGCCAGCTTGCGCCAGCACATGGGGCACTCCTCTCGACGCTGCGCCCTGGGGGATGGGAAGCAGGGGGGGTAACGGAGCAGGGGGGAGGTGGGAGCAAAAAGGGAAAGGATCAGGAGGGAGGGGGGGAGCAAAGGGGAAACGCAGTGCCAGCTTGCGCCAGCACATGGAGCATTCCTCTTGACATTGGGCCCTGGGGAATGGGGAGCGGGTGGGATGTAGTGCACACATAAGGGGGAAGGGAGCAAAAGGGAAGAGAGAACGGGAGGGCATGCAGTGAGAAGAAATGGGATAGGAGGAAGTGCGGAGGAGACTTTTGACTTTTGAGTCGACTCAAAAAGCGACTTTTGACTTATGAGTCGACTTAAAAGGTGACTTTTGACTTTTGAGTCGACTTAAAAGTTACCTTGAGAACGGGAGGGCATGCAGTGAGAAGAAATGGGATAGGAGGAAGTGCGGAGGAGAGCAGGGGCGAGAAGAGAAGGAAGAAGAGGAAGAGGAGGAAGAGAAGGAAGAGAAGGGAGAGGAGATGAGGAAGAGGAGGAAGAGGAGGAAGAGAAGGAAAGGGAGATGTATCCAACATGTGAGTGGGAGAAGAGGACATTTGAGAATCCCAAAAAAAAAATACTGTGTGCTTATCAGCAGAATTTCAAACGGGTTAAGTCAGCGATGCGCTTACCATTCAAGGACGCACTGAAAGTGGTACTCGTGGTTGCAGACCGTGAGCTGGCAGTAGCACAGGTGGGGAAAGAGAGGGGTAACACACACAGAGAGAAAGGGAAGGGTATGAGGGGGCATGGTCGACTCGACAGAAGAGCACTGGAAGTGGTACTCGTTGTTGCACACTGTGAGCTGGCAGTAGCACAGGTGGGAGCAGGCACACACACACGCACGCACACACAGGCGAAAGGGTGAAAGGGGGAGAGGTGAATGGTCATATGAAACAGGTGAGGCGACGCACTGAAAGTGTTACTCGTGGTTGCAGACCGTGACCTGGCAGCAGCACAGGTGGGGAAAGAGAGGGGCAACACAGAGAGAGAGAAAGGGAAGGATATGAGGGGGCATGGTCGACTCGACAGAAGAGCACTGGAAGTGGTACTCGTGGTTGCAGACCGTGAGCTGGCAGTAGCACAGGTGGGGAAAGAGAGGGGCAACACACAGGGTGAAAGGGGGAGAGGTTGAACGGTGATATACAACAGGCGACAGAAGCAGCAGCAGCGGCGAGGGGAATGGGGAATTGGAAGGAAGGAGTTGAAAAAGAACGGCGTGAGGGGTAACGCGTAAGAGTCGAGCTGGCGCAATGGAAGTGGCTCTTGTGGCTCCACAGGTCACACCGTCCGCCAGCTGGCATGGGCCATGGAGAGACAAAACGCAGCCGCATCAGCCACATCAGCAGCAGCAGCAGCGAGGGGAATGGGGAGGCGATGGAATCGCTTGTCATCACGAGCTCAAGCCGTCTCAACTCTCCAACCATCGGGTCTGCTTGGGGAGTTGAGACGGCTTAAGCTCCCCTGTCTAGGTGCTTCAGGTGTGTCCACTTGCGCGCTGCCTTGCACACTACCAGGCGCGCCCCACCCCACCAGGCGCGCCCCACCCCACCAGGCGGACTTGCAACCTTCCAGGCTTCAGCCAGCCTTCCAGACACCAGGCACGCCCGCGGCCCAATCCCCCTCTCCTACATTTCCCACCGTTTAAATTTGGCGCATTTGGTTTCAGTCCTTGCCATGCGGGACTTACAACGCGTACAGGGTCAACTGGGTTCAGTCCTTCCTTACAACGCGGCCCGGATCCAAACGGAATCCAGGGTCAACTGAGGAGACGGACGGATGACGCGAGGCGGGGTGGGGCAGGAAGGGAGATTCGAAAGAGAAATCCCGGCATGAGGAACTCACCCTTTGAGTCAAATTCACTCATGCCGACCACAAGGGAAGTGCAGCTTAGGGCATGTTCACTCGCAATGGTGGGGTCGGGGTGGGGGGAAGGCGTCGAGGCGGATGCTACACAGATTGTCCTTGCACACGCCTTGGCGAAACCCCATCTCTTTTCCGCGAGAGAAGTTAGGAGAACTTACCTCACGTCTAACACAGGGTGTGTTCACTCACAGTGCCAGGGTCGGATTTAGTAAACGCGTCCAGGCAAATGCTGCACGAGCCATCCTTCGCTTCTAGGCGGCACTTCAACGGTCAAATTCAACCCCCCGCGAATAAGCTCAAGTGATGCTGCAGGAGGTGTGACGGAGGGAGGAACTCACCTCACCTCATTTCTCAACTCAGGGTGTGTTCACTTACGGTGGCGGGGTCGGATTCGGTGAACGCGTCGAGGCAGATGCTGCACGAGTCCTCCTCCGCGTGTTGTGAGCACTCCAACTCATTTCCGTGTGAAGAATACTCTCGAGTTCAAGGTTGGAGTGGGTGGAAACGGAAGGATTTCACACAGGAGCACTCACAGCGGCGGGGTCGGATTCAGTGAAGGCATCCAGGCGGATGCTGCACGAGTCTTGGGGGCATTCCAAGGCAACGGCAAGGTAAGGGCAAGGCAAAGAGCAAAGCAAGGGCACTCACAGCGGCGGGGTCGGATTCAGTGAAGGCGTCGAGTCGGATGCTGCACGAATTGTCCTCCTCCGTATCTTGGCAGCACTTGAACGGTCCAACTCGCGTGAATACGCTCAAGTTACATAACGGAGAGTGTGACGCGACTCAACTCACTTCTAACTCGGGGCGTGTTCACTCACGGTGGCGGGGTCGGATTCGGTGAACGCGTCGAGGCAGATGCTGCACGAGTCTTCCTCCGCGTCTTGCACTCCCGCCGCCACCAGCGCTGCTGCCGACACCAGCCGAACGGCCGCCTCACTAGCAGCGGACTCGCTAGGAGCAGACTCGCTATTAGATGACTCGCCAGGAGAACATTCGCTAGCATCAGGTTCGTTAGGAGCATGCGCGCTCTTAGCATCAAGTTCGACATCATTATTAGCGCAACTGTCGTCGCTTGTGCCGTCAGCAGCGCCATTGCCGCTGGCGTCGGCGCGACCACTTGTGCTGCAGTTACCTGGATGCTCGCGAATGTCGCTGCTATCGCTACCGTGATTACTATCGCCACCGCGGTTACTATCGCTGCAAATGCCCTCACCACCGGAGCTGTTGCACTCGATCCCATCCGAGCTACCAGACGGAATACACCGCAAATCGTTATCCTGCCCCGCCTCTCCTTCTTCAACGTTCATTCTGCCCGAACCTAGTTCGCCTTCCGTCCTCGTTACACAATCTTCCGTTATAACGTCCGCCGTGGCAACCCCACACGTGGCCTCGTCGACAACTGTCCCTTCACGCCGGCCACTCCCGAGCGCGTCCCTTGACAAATCCGGGCCGTCCTTCAACGAATCTAGCTTTCCGTCGAGAGTCGTGACCGTAAGATCGACAATCCCTAAATTCGGTCCGTTATCGACGGTTCTCCATGGCTCGGGAACTACTCTGCAAAACGGCATCGCCATTCTCGCAATATTTATTCAGCCGAATCGAGTTAAATTAGTTAATGGGAAACCGAACGACGAAACGGCGTCGCCATTATCACGGAACGTCCTGTGTCGACTTTGACTATTGTTTTCAGGGAATACTAGGTTTCTGGCGCATCCAAAGCAACTCCTACAATCTAGTCCATTCGTGGAGCAACGACGACTGACGCGCCACTTTAGCGAACCCGTTGCTGGCTCGTAATCTCACCTCTACTACGCGATAAATGAAAGCTTTAACGACAGACTAAGAGCTGAAATACCGCGCTGCAAACAAGAGTCTCGTAAGAGCAGCCCACTGATAGCCGCAAGACTTAGAGCGGGGATTCTTTGGGTGAGAAAAGGCGACTGGAGGAGACGAATGAGCTGTAGTGGACTAATGAATGAACTATGGTGGTCGTCATTCCGTCCGTACATAACACAGCACGCGTGACTTTTCTTCCGCACTGCGAGGCTCCTCCCTGCCTCGATTTCATCACAGTACCAGCTTGGAGCAGAACGGTTGGGATTGTCCGAAAGGGATTAAGTTCGGTCGTGCTGGTAGCAAGGGCTGGGTTTTCCAGCAAAAGCTCGTTTGGGCGTCAGTGGCCTCTTGATGGGGCGTGTTTTCAAACCTCATCCCACTTCTGAATCTGCATCCAGGGAACATGGCGGCCTCGAGAGACGAACACAAAGAAGTATTGGAAATTGAAGAACTTTGGTAACAGGTCGCTAATTTCTATCTGTGAATGAGTTTCAAAACTAAAAAAATACTGCCTGGGTTTCGGCGGCAGCAGAAGTAGGAGCCAGAAGATCAGGCGCGAGCGCGGGCACGGGCGCGGGCACTCGCGCAGCCGCAATGTTGGGAGCCGGATGAATGATGTCAGCGGACGGGTTTCCGTACACATGATGCCCGGTTGAGCTCCCCGACCTCGGCCTGCCCTATGGGTCTATAAGTGATTCAAGCATTTCGTGGAGGTTTCGTCAATTCGCATCACGCAAAAAGGGCTTATAAAAAACAATTGTAACTTACTGTTGACTCTTTGACTGCAGTCTTATGAGTCAGACTTTCGTTCCTGGCTTTCCTATTGGTCGACGTGCTTGTACCGTAGGTGTAACTTTGCGGCAGGAAACCCACGGGTGCAAGGTTTCTGGAATGTACAAGGCAATTTTGCGTGCAGGGGTTGGGCATCACTTGTACCGCACCTGGGGCACAATTCTCAAGGTTGGGGAAGGGCATTGCCTTGACTGCCAGTTCAGAGGGTGGTGCTGGTGGCGCACTGCGCACCACGCCGCTCGCCCATCATGTGTCTGGAGAGAGTGAGCGGAGAACGCAGTGGGAACCCTTCTAACCTCACGTCACCGAATCATAACTCTGCGTACCATCTTCAGCAACGTCCCAACCTCACCCACATCCGAGTGCCCCATTTCTCACACCCCATTTCCCCCCACCCTCCAACAAGTGCTGCTTCAGCTCGCTGCGCGCCCTTACCAAAACACCCCATTTTCATTTGTTTTTCCCTACCCTGCCCCTCAACAACAACCACACGTTCAAGGTTCATCGACTCCATCCATTCGCTGTTGCACCTTGCGGAGACTGCGCTGAGGATGCCCTATCCTGGCGTCTTGGAGTCTTGGTTCACTCAGGGCCCGGCTCAACATTGTTCAGAATACTGTTCAAACTTGAAACTACCATCATCCAATACGTAGTAACGCCATCTACTAATTATAAGTGTTATGAGTTGTGAAAGAGTGCGCATAATGCAATGACGCGGAAGTGATTACAAAGTCTAACACATAATGAAGCCCAGGGCTAATATAGCAAGGCTACCTAGGTGATGGTCGCGGGATCGCGAGATGGTTGGTTGTAGGTTCGGGATTGGAAAATCTGAAAGTGACGCGATGGTGGCTCGGAAGGCGATGTCGTCGGACCGAGCCTGGTTTCCAAAAAATGAGTTGTACGCGTACAGTGTGACCCAGTAAGGAATCCAGGAAAATTCCTTACACGATCCCCCCTTTAAGAATTGTGGTATATATCCGGGACACCCCGGCGGATCATGTATGCATTCACAACCGGATCTTCTTGTAGCGAGTCAGCGGCGACATATGTGTCGTCCTCG